CCAGATTCTTAAAAAGTGCTGAAGCCAAAACACCTACAAGCTCAGCATAAAGTGGTGCCGAGAATACTGTAACCAATTTTCGGCCTGCAAAGAATCCATATCCATTTTCCATCACCTGAAATAAAATCTTCAGTTTGGCTCAAACGGCTAGTACATTGGGAGATGGAAATGCACAACGAAGGCTGAAATGAAAGGTGATTTGTCTCAGGCTATTCTCTTAAGTTCTCAAGCTACCGCGCAGCTTAGAGCGCCAAAAGTTAAAAGACTCAGAGTTATTACCTGTAAGAAGCAGGGGCACTCGAAGTATCTTGAGAGTGGCAACTGCGAGCGAGCTGAAGCATCATGAATGAAGCCCCTTTTTATTTAAGGCTGTTATGAACCGTCAGGGTATTGAAGCACTCTCTTTCACATCTGTGCTCGACCTGTTGCCCACTACATCACCGCATGTGATTTTAATATCAGTCCGGCAGCGCATTTACTGTGTATCTGCTTTTCAAGGCACAATTTTTTCTTTGTAGCGCCATCTTTTTTATGTTGACTTTTCAATTTTTCGCGAGTTCTCCAAGAAGTGTGCAGGTAGAAAAGGACCCTCTATAAAAATTCTGCACATGGGATGTTTGGTAATCAGCTTGCAGGCATTCGAGACGGAAGAATATACCAAGAGTACCAAAGCTACCTAGATAGTCGACTGGGTCTCCCATGCTACTGAAATGATCAGACACATTTGGCTCAATTATGTCGGACCTTCGCATTCCAGAATACGACTGTGTCAAGATTTCAATAAACCCGGAAACAGTACATATAATTATTTAGCTTTCGTTGTTTTTATATTGAATCTGCATAATACCTGATGTGCTCGGATGATGAGATCCAGTTTCAAGCGCCTACATGTTTTATGCACAACATCCTCGCCAAATGAGACGCTCACATTTCGTAGTTTGTTGGGCTCGAAACCCCTTATATCCAGTTTCGGATCGGACCAAACCAAATCTTGTTCCAGTGTATCCGGAAAAGTTTCCATCACCGGCATTTTTATCTGCAGGCATGATGCACTTTACAACAATTCGATCTGACGACTTCAATAACGTTTGAAAAATTTAGCTAACAATTTGCAGCAACCGCCATTCTTATGAGCCGATACTATCTGG